CTGTGGATAAGTCCTGCATTATGCATTATAGTAAAAACTGTTTAGCGGTTACTTTAACATTATATTGCCTCCCTTATATTTGAACATTGTAAATATTTGTTTCTTATCGCCGAGCAGAGAAATCTAGTATTATTCTAGATTATCGATCTGTCTTGCAATTAGTAATGATTTAAAGTTAATAAAAATTCTGTATTTACTTTTCCAGAATTCAGAATTTGAAATATAAAAACTCTTGGACATAGCGTTTTAAAGATAAATGGATTAGAAAATCAAAGTTCTTTTTCCTTTTCCTTAACCAAAATTTTCATCTCATCTACATACAAATGTATTTTTGTACAGTGAAACCCTTAATAACGAATACATCGAAAGAATTCATCAAATGTCGTATTCTTCACTTTCTGATAATGGAATGTTGCAGATATTTAGTTTTTTAATTAAATGGTTATATGGAACTCTTTAAAACTGTTCCCGCATATTCATGGCTATTTATTTATTTTCGCAAATACTGAAATTTACGTAATAAAGTATAAAACTCATTGAAAAATTGTCAAGACGACATTTGATGAATTCTTCCGATGTATTCGTTATTAAGGGTTTCACTGTATGTAGATGTATTTTTAAATAAAAAAAAACTTTTGGACACACATTTTTGTAAATTCGAGCATTTACAAACAAAATTTGCTGTTCAGCCGTTTATTGGACACAAACAATCCATCAAAACAAACAAACACCCAAACAAACAAAACAGATTTAAAATTCAGTGATGGTGATGGACCAAACCTCTGTAGAGTAAAAAAGTAGATGTTAGTTCCACATTTATTGAAAATATATTTCGGTCTGGGTTGACCCTCGTCAGTTCTAACGATATAATAACCATCAAATCGATAAAAAAAATAAAAAAATGTAAAAATCACAAGAAAAAAAAACAGACAAACAAACGCCCAGACAAGCAAAGTATATGAAAAGAAAAAAGAAGAGTTATAGTTAGCAGAACAATATCCGGTAAAAAACAAAGGAAGAATAATTTTAAAAAAAGAATATGAAGAAATGTGGGGACATAAAGTGGTAAGCGATTATATCAATATGATGAAGATGACTTTCGATTTCAATTGCTTTATATCAAGTTTTTTAAACAGCATGGATACACAAAAACATCAGAACAAAGTGAAGCTTTCAAACAATAAATCTTTCTCTTTAATTACTTGAGAACTTGTAATTCGAAAAAAAGCTTGTTAACAATAATACTTCATAAAGTCGTCTTCATTATATTAATATATAAGAAAAGATAAGAAATAGAGCTGAAAAAAAGTTGAGTGAAAAAGTCTAAGTACATTAGAAAAATGAAAAAGAGATGGCTATTATTAAATTGAATAACATCGATATAAAAAGTAAAATTGAAGTTAAAAAATTACCAAAAGATGGGATGAAGTAAAGATCTTTAAAGAATCATCATAAAAGAGTCCGAATGATAATAGCAAAATGTAAATTCTTCTCCTGTGATCAGCTTTCTTTTCAATTTGAATTTTCATATATATTTTAATATTGCGTAACTAACCATTATTTTTTTTAATGTGGATCCTTAGGATCCATTTAATTTTGATGCGGATCCGAATCCTGGATTCGCACTGGAAAAAATGGATCCGGATCCAGGTCAAGTTTTACCGATTTTTTTAACAGAAGAATTTTCCAATTAATTTTCTTTCTTCTTTTCACTTATTTTTATGCAACAACTTGATGAACCCCTCAGAGATAAGGACATATTTGAAAATCTTTCTTTTCAACAGTTCAGATTTGAGAGCCAAAGATTTGTTTTGCAGTTTTTATATTAAGCCCTTAATTCTACATATTTTAGCGGATCCGTACCCAGACAGCCAAAATGTTACGGATCCTATGCAGTGCACTGCTTCATACCTCGACTTCAAATTATTTTTGTCCTGGTTCTCTTTTATCAGTTTCTTCTGGAGTAATTTAAACTTCAAAAACACAAAAAAAAAAAAAAAGTTAATCAAGGCAGAGCAAGAGAACTCAATATAACCTTAAAATGAAGTTTTTTTTGACTTCGACTTATTCAGTTTTCCTTACGCTTTTCGGATCAGAATTTAGAATAAAATGTCCAAGAATTTAATTTTATTTGGACTTCGCAGTAGTTTCTTTCAAAATTAATTCATCCTTTCAGAATTCAATAAACGACTTTTTCTTTTCTTTTTTGCGTAAGGGCATAATTACTAGCGGTTCGTGCGTAGTGGTAGTTCTGTAATAAGGATAATAGATTTTTAACAATTATTCCTCCACCCTTGTTTTTAAATTTAAAAAAAGAACAATTTAAAGGAATGAAGTTTATTGATGAAAAAAATGTAATGTTTACAAATTTGAAATTTATGAATAAATCCGTGTTGAAAAACACATTCGGGAGGATGGTAGTTAAGTCATAGCAATTAAGGAATTGACGCTTGCGCAGATGATTTAAAATCTGCCGGGAGGCGCTCCACGCATCGGAGGTGCTGACGCATGCGCACCCGGGGCCATCATCTGAGGAGATGGACCACCAACACCACGCACTGGACCTGGAATATACAAAATATTTTTTAAATAACGTTAAAAATTTATTAACGAGGTTTTGTTAAATGAACACACAGGAATTAGTCTATAAGGTGGGTTAATTTTGTTCTTTACAGGGGGAGGGCTCAGCAACAATTGGGCCTAAATACCCGCTGGCATCAAAAACTTTTACCCGTCCAAGAGGGGGGGGGGGGGGGGGGGGGCTGAGGCTCTGAGCCCCATCCCTGTGTATGACTCTGTTAACGATCTCACAAATCAGACATTCAGAGATTTTGCCAATTTGAGAGAACTGACTTAAACCTGTTTGTATAGGTTCAATTACACTTTTCTGAGAGTCGTAGTAAATCTCAATAATGTTTTACCTGGTTAAACCTTAGTAACAGTGAAATACTTTCAAGGAATTTATTTTTGGGAAGATTTATCCTTCTAAACTTTGCCTTTAAACATTTATAAGGGAAGCCCTACAAGAATAGGTTTTTATCTCAACAAATGTGTAGAGAGAAGGGTATTGTTCATAATGAAATATGCACTACATGTAAAGATGCATTATATTAAGGAAAACAAAATAATTAAACATGAAAACTGACATAGTTTGATTCATTGAATATGCAAGGTCCCCCATATCTTTATTTAAAAGGCCCGTTCAGGGCGGAATATAAACATAACTAGTTAGTAGTTTGTTTACATTCCTACTAGAAAACGCAGTACAATTTTACACACAAAAGATATGAGGGGGGGGGGAGTAATTGTTTTATTCCTTTAAAATTGGATCCAAATCGGTCCAGGGACTAGGGATTCATGACTTATGATAGGACATCCAAACAAAGTAAGACAAACAGACTAACAACGATTCAGTGCTCAGGATCCGGATCGGTTGGATCGGAAACATTTTTACTTCCTAAATCCGGATACGCAAAAATACGCGTATCCACGGATCCGATTCCATGGGGAAAAATATCAACAAAAACTGCCGACATCTTTTGCTCCCAAAATCCAAATCTTACCTGTCGAAAAGAGAAAAAATATCAAATATTTTAACATAAAAAATACCGAAAAAAGAACAATAATTAAAAAATCTTCGGTTACAAAAATCTGAAAATCTTGAAGAAATGTTCATGACCTTGATCCGGATCCGCATCAAAATTAAAGGGATCCTAAGCACTGCAGAGATTACAACGTTGTATATAGAAAAATACTTTTCACCTGAAAGACCGGGTTGCCCGCCGGATGGACCGCCGATTCCACGTCCCGCCGCTCTTCCCATTCCAGGACCGCCGCCACCGGGTACTGGTACACGAGGCATACCTGGAAAATATCAATGTTAAAGAGAATGTTGAGTGTAGTAGCTGCCTTGTCCTATTCACAAAGATACCCTTAAAAGATTTGTCTAAATAAGAGTAAATAAACCAAACTATAAAATGTTTTTCTTTCTAGAAAAAAAAAGTTTCCGCAATATTAATATCTTAGGTTGAACGGGTACCGTTGAAGTTAAATCGACAGTTCCTTTTTACAGAGAAAAAAACTAAAACATCAATGGAATAATTAGTCTTTTGTGTTTCTTTCTCTTATAAATTTCTTTCAAGTATGCTGTAACAGATATTAATAAAAAAATGTGTCCAGAGCTGAAAACTTTAGAATGGTGGATATCGAGATCAATGCTTGATCCTCTCTTTTTCAAATCTCCATACCAATTTAGTCTTTAGATTTATTTCTAGAGATTAGAGATGCGCTCTTTAGCTTTTGAAAACCCGGTTTTTAATTTTGCGCATTTCTGTTTTTAATGGTGTCATATCAATTGAACAATTGAACTAATGATCGATTGAACGAACATAAGTTTTGGATTAATGTTTATTAAGGCTAACGTTCAAACTGACTAAAGTCCTCAAATGTGATAAAATATGTTTTTTACATAATAACATGATTAATTTTATAATTGTTTTAATGCTCTTAAAGTCGGCTTGTGAACACCTGACTTTAGTTAAATCGGATGTTAATCCAATCAATATAGTATCAAATCTGTAATTGTTATCAAACGTAACTCTTATACAGGAGGGGTATCCAAAAAAGAGGATTAAGAAGAAAATCAGTGTACATTGGATACTCAGATGAAGAGATTGCGATTAATGATATCCCATTCTAAAGTTTTCAGCTGAAATATGCTGAAATAAACCATATGTTACATTTAGAATGATTTTTTACAAAATTTAATGAAGCGAAGAAAACAGACGACATTCATCTAAATTAAAGGTTCTAAAGTTTAAATTAATTCGTTTCTACTCAAAAGAAAAGGAAGAAACAATCATGAAGTTTATCGACGCACTATTTGAGCCAGATTCAAGTATCTAGGAGTGACATATTTAGTACATTACAATGTGTGTACCCGAATCAATCCTATATAAACCCCTGCCATATACCCCATCCCCGCCATTATTAAAAAAAGTTTTTTTTAGAATAAATGCAAACCTTCGTCCTGTGGAGGCGGGCCTTCAACGGTCATACTCACAATATTCTCACCTCTAGACAACAAAATAGAAAATTAATATGAAAATTTCAATATTAATGAAAATAGTAATGAAAAACTTAATATTATTAATAACAATATGAGATATAGTGATGATAAAAATTCTTTTTACTGTCTGAAATTTGATTAAGAAACGAAGAATAATCAAGTGAACAAAGGAACCAATGAACATGAGGAAAAAGTAGGTGTGTGCTACGTGTTGTCTGTCGGTCTTAATTTAATTNTTTAATTAATGTCAAAACGATTAAAAGTGAAAAATGTAGAATGGAAAAAATGCTATTTTTTGAAAGAAATATCTATCAGTATTTACAGATAAATACACAAAATTTGAGTTTTAACGAAGAGAAATGGCAGCCTGAAAAGCTACATTTAAACATTTAAATCCGAGTAAATAAATGGATGAATAAATGAACAGATGAATAGATGAATGAATGAATGAATAGATGAATGAACCTGAGCAGTACAAGTCCCAAGACTCTCTTCTCCTCCCTCTCAGCAGACTTGGCAGATTTAGGTTTTTTTAAGGGACTGTATGCTTTAAGGGACTGTATGCTTTAAGGGACTGTATGCTTTAAGGGAATGTATGCTTTAAGGGACTGTATGCTTTAGTTAAATTGAATAGAGCTCAAGAGTGGAATATGTCCGTGCCAATTCACGACGGAACCCTTAAAAGCTTCAAGCTTTGACTAGACCAGAATTCATGAGATATTCATAATTTTTCGAAAATTGATCATTTAGGTCTACAAGCTGGAAAATGATTAATTTATCAATGAAAGGTTTCAAGGGTACCGTGGTGTATCGGCCATGCCCACCCTTAATTGAAGGACCACTTAACGTTGCAAAAATTTATATTTACAATGCATTCAGAAAGATTGGTTCCATGATTAAATGTACATATTTAAAGTTTAAGAAATTTTTATAATTATTCCAGGGTTAGGTTTAGGACTGGCTCGAGGGCTGAGCAAAGCGGCCAGGGCAGACAAGGGGGCCGGGCACTGTGGACACATGCCATACTTTGACCATGTACATTTAGGGTCCGTCTAGAGAACTATTTTTGTAATGTTTAGATGGGACTGTTGTGAATCGAGAATTCTTTTAATGGAGGGAAATCTGAAATCACAACGCCAGTTCATTTAAAAGCGGAAATTGTTAAAATAAAGCACTTTTATAATTTTTATAATTTTGACGAACGATAGCTTTCACATTAGTAATCAGAAAAGGGTACCGTTGAAAATAAGACATGATCCTCTGGATGATCCCTTGACATTACGTCGACATTCCCTTTAATGCCTACATAACAGTCCCTTTAATGCCTACATAACAGTCCCTTTAATGCTTACATAACAGTCCCTTTAAGGCCTACATAACAGTCCCTTTAAGGCCTACATAACCTTGATAAAAAGGCTGACTAATGTACACAGTATCCACGAAGGGCAGGATGAAGTCTCCAAATTAGGCAATAAAAAGAAGTATACGCGTTTTAAGAACAACTTGCAAAGTTACGTAAGAAGTTATAACGCTTATAAAATATCTTTTAAAAAACTTCAAAATTATAGAAAATACAAAATTTAAAACCACAATGAAAAATTTCAACATATTTTGAAAATGTAAATACTTGTTATTTAAAACATAAATATTTAAGAACATGAGAATGGAAATAAATATTTAAATAAAAAGTTCATGATTATAAACAAAACTGAAATTTAAAGATATATTTCAGAATACTTATAATTACCCGCCCCCCCCTCTCACCATTTTGCGAAATAAAAGCACAACTGAGTCAATGTTAAAGACAGCACATTAAAATTAACTGTAAATTCTGAGTTTAAGCGCAAATTCGACGTTCAAAACTCCTACTTTTTGGGGGCCGGTGGAAACGTTTACAGAATTAGTTTTTTAAAATTACTAAATAACGACGACGAAAAATAAAGTAAAAATCATACAGTAATCTAATTAGATGGTTGGGAACATATTTCTGAAAAGATATTTGTCAATAAATCAATGCTAGAATCAATTACTTCGTTTTCATCATTATATTGAATTTCTTATTTTCTATAAATTTATTCGCAGATTTCTACAAATTCTTCAAATGTCGTCTTTTCAATAATAATTCCAGAAAATCTGCAGAAAATATGAGAAAATAGAAACTAATAATTGAACAAAATTACTTATTTTCAATGATAAGATTAATTTTTATTTTTGGAACCGGTTCCTGAACAACTAATTAGTCTACTGTAGAGTTTTGTTTACAATTTTTATCGTCGTTATTTAATAATTAAAAAAAAAACACTTCTGAAAACATATCCACCCTCAAAGTGGGAGTTTTAAACGTCGAATTTGCACTCAAACTCAGGATTTACAGATCTTTTAAAATGATTCCTAAAGAAGCTTTCCACAACACTGCATACTCAGTTCAACTACATTACATTGCCGGCCTGTCCCTTTAAAAATTGATACAACATTTCATAGCAGGCTGAATGTTCCCTGCCTCTTGCCTAACACTGTATAAACTAAATATCCTTTCATGCATAGTTATCAGTTTTCCTTCCTTATCTATATCCGATTTATTATAGTTATACATATACTGGGCCCTGGTGTTTCCCAAGATTGTTTTCATAATGGGCCCTGGAGTTCCCTCAAATTTGTTATCATACTGGGCCCAGGAGTTCCCTAAACATGTTTTCCACACTGAATTTTGTCACGGACCCTGCAGTTCTTTTTTAGACACACAAACATCGACAATCCGAATAAATACAGGGTTACCCACAAAAGATGAGACTGTAAAGACGATCCCAAGGTAAAATTAAGCTTTCTGTAGCAAAGAATGAATCAAGTTTACAGATAAAGAAAATCATGAATGTAAAAAATACTGTCATCTCTGAAGTTTCATCCTTTGTAGGTAACCCTGTATAAGAAAAGAAAAGAATTCACAGTCTTAATCAGAATTTACAGTGAAACCCTTAATAACGAATACATCGGAAGAATTTATCAAACGTCGTCTTGACAATTTTTCAATTTTTCAACAGTTTTAAAGAGTTCCCTGTAATCATTTAATTAAAAAACTAAATATCTGCAACATTCCATTATCAGAAAGTGAAGAATACGACATTTGATGAATTCTTTCGATGTATTCGTTATTAAGGGTTTCACTGTATATGATTATATCAGTAAG